TACAATCTAAGGGATAATAGATCTGGCAAAGACGAATCTGTCAGAAAATGAAGGTAAATTCATACTTAGAAAGGAAGAAAAATTTATAGCAGTTTGGTTATCGGCAAATGAAAACAAGAAGAAAGGATCAGGAATAGACGTAATTCTTAACAAATAATAGGAAAGACACATAACCGAAGTCAGCAAAGAAAACCCATATATTATAGATGTGACTTTGGAGTTTAAAGGAATAACAGTATATATGCTAGTACTATATATAGTGCCCAATGACCAGGAAATACAAACTTCAATCATGAGTTATTTATCAAAAAGAACAAATACTCAAGGAAAGAAGAAGTAGCAAAGGTTTGTGATAATGGAGAACTTTAATACAAACCTGAGCACCTCCTGTGAACAAAGTGCGAAAGGAAAAACTAACAAGAAAAAGAGAATAATAGAGAAGCTGGCAACAAAAGGCTTCATAGATAAGTTTAAGAAGTCCAATCCAGAAGAGGAGTCAGTGACATGGAGCAACAGAGACACACAATCAAGAATCGATACCTTGTGGGTAAATAGATTTTGGGCAGAAAACATAATCTGAAGCAAAGTAAAAGATATGACCTATATAACCGAAAGTGACTACAAGGCAGTCATTCTCGAAATAGAAATAAAGATAGATCTAAGGAAAAGAAACAAGGCAAAAATGAGAAAAATAGAAAGAAAATGACTAAATCTCGAACTAGAAAAAGCTATCACAGAGGATTGGGAGGAGTATGAAGTGAAGCTCAAAGAAGAAATTAAAAGACAAGTAAAAGAGCTGATCAAGAAAGACAAAGAAGAAGAAATGCTCCACCACAACATAGATAACCAAAGAGAAAGAAATCTGCACTGAGCAGAAGAGTTCAAAAAACTAAACATAGACCAGATGTGGAATATAATTGAATGAGCCATTAAAACAGCAGCAATAAATATACTTTCACAAAAGAAAAAAGTAGCCAAAATTGCACTAGCAGAAAAATACAGCATTACAATGAACAGGCTTAGACAAGATACAAGAAAGCTAGGCAAATAGTGCAAAAAGATAAAGAGAAAAGGCTATACAGACCTGTTAGACAAAGAAAAAAAAAGATTTCAATGCTTTTATTAGAACAATTAAAAGAAAATATGATCTGAAGGATATAGCAGATCCAACAAATAATAAAAATCTAGAGATATAGTAGAAAGTGCTATACAAGAAATGGCAAGCTGAAAAACAAACAGAAAAAGAAAAAAAGAATTAGAGACTTCATAAAAAAAGGCATGAAATGATAATAAAGAACCAGAGAAGAATAACTGATAGTATTTTAGACAGGCCATATAATAGCATTAAAATTAACAAAGTAATCAAAGAGAATGAAGAAAAGAACGAGAACGAACTGCTGAATAAAGCAAATAAGGTACTAGCAGAGGTCAAAAATCATTTCATGAAACAGTTTAGAAAAAGAAACACAAAAACAAACAAACTACCTACAAAATAGAAAGAAAGATATAAACCAATCAAGAAAGTACAGACTCAATGGTACAATGATATCGATAAAGAGGTCTCAAATACAAAATGGGTAGAAGTATTAGCACAAACCAAGAACACATCAGCACCAGGCCCAACAGACATAACATATCTACTGATCAAACATACGAACGAGCGAACAAGAAAGGCCTTTAGAGTTCTGGCAAACATGTGTTTTAAAACGGGATTGATGCCAAAAAAGTGGAAACTAGGAATACTTTACCTAATACCGAAACAAGAGGACTAGAACTACAATCTCAATAATGTCAGACCAATCTTACTACTTGAAATATTTAGAAAAATAGTGGTAAGAATCCTAAACAACAGACTAGACAAAATACTAAAAGAGAAAGAAATCCTCAAAGAAAGAAATTATGCAGACCTACCAGAAGAAGGTATAGCAGGGTCAATTCATATCATAAACAGTATTATAGAAGATGCAAGAGAAAATAAGAAGGAGTTATGGTTGCTGTTTCAAGATATAAAGAAAGCATTTGACTTAGTAAGTATAGAAATGCTTAAGCTAGCATTGGAAAGAATCAAGCTACCGAAAAATACAAGAGACTTTATAATCAACCTGTATAAAAACAGAGAAATGGAAGTAATCACAGGAGTAGGTGTAATGCAAAAATTCACTGCTAAGAATGGCATAGACCAAGGAGAGATTATCTTACCACTAATATGAAAGATTTTTTATGCCCCTTTCTTGGTTCAAATACAAGTAGCAAAAGAAGTAGATTATAAAATAGAGATAGCATAGCCCAAAGATATCAAGTATAATGATATTGAAAAACAAAACATAAAGATCCCAGTACTAGCATATGCAGACAATACAATGTATATAGCAAGAAGCTGAGAAGAAATGAAGAAAATTACAAGTATAGCAAGAGAGTTCTTCGAAATTAATAATATTAAAATTAATATGAAGAAATCAGAACTATTAATAATATGCCCCAGAGATAAGGCAGATGCAGAGAGAGGTATAATATTCGGTTTAAAAAAAGAAACAGTCTCAAGGAAAAAAACAAAAAAATTAACAAGATATCTGGAAATATGGATATCAGAGAAGGCCAAACAAAAGCACATAGAAGAAATCATAAAGAAAGAAGTACAAATAGTAGTTAAAGGCCTCAAGAGGAAGAAAATTTTACTGGCATATATGCAGTATATTAACAACAGAGTACTAATACCAAAGGTAGAGTACAAGGCACAACAACACATATTGCCAAGGAAAATATAAAACAAATTACAAAGCCCACTCTTTATGTTGATCAAGAACAAGGCAAGAATGATGTACACGATACCAAATGCAGCAATAGTACACAAGAATATAGTTGGTATCAAAACTATATAGCAGAACCAGATTGTACACCATATTACGAAACTCACAGCAAGACTTAACAACAGGCAGGATATAGAAAAAACAACATAGATGAGATTAAAACAGGCCCAACTAAACCTAAAGAGTAGCAGATGTATACTAGGCCTCAGTATACAAAAGCTAGAACAGATCAACATTAAAAACAATCTGTGCTTCAGAATCATTAAAGAAGCAAAAAAACTTAAAATAAACATTAGGTTAATAGAATTAGAAAAAGACCTGCAGCTATATAAAGAAGAAACCGAAATCATGAACTTATTTGAAAAGAAGTATAGACCAAGCTTTAAACAAGAAAAAGCAATGAATATCTTCATACTCGAACAAATACTGGACAGCAAAGAAGAGTCATTGCTCACTTGAAAACAAATAAAAAAGCTAAGAAATTGTAGTACAAGAGACAAAAAAGCAAGGTGGTTTCAAGAAATAGAAAAACTAGTTATTAGAGATGAAGTGAACAGAAAGATTAAAAAAGAATTCAAAAGAGACCAAAAAACTACAACTTTATCCAAGTGAAACTGAAGGACATTAGCAATGACAAAAGACAAAAAGAGTGAATAGTGTTTAACAAAAGAAACAAAAAAGCAGAGATAGGTAGAATAATCTACAAATATAGGCACAAGAGATTCGAAATAGAATATTGGTGCAAACAAGACTATCTAGAAAAAGGAAAAGCAGTTATAAAACCCTGTGAAGGATGTAAAGATAGTATGATAACAGCTAAAAATGAAATATGCGTCATCAAGAAACAATTCAAAAAGACCAAAAAGGTAATAGACAAGCACCTGGTGAGGAGAGTCAATGTAAACAAACAAGTAGAAGCTGAAACAATAGTACTATAAAAAAATATAACAGGCAAGACTGAGACGATAGTGCAAGAAGAATGGGAAGCGAGAAGTAATCAACCAAGAATGATAATCAATATAAGACCCTTAGACAAAAAAGTTATCCACAGGTGTATAAAAGAAGAAGCAGTCATCAAGAAGCTCAAGAAAGTAGCAAAAAAGGTTGCAAGAAACAAGAAATTCATAGCTTATACAGACAGTTCACTAACAGAGCTAAGAAAGAACCCTGAAGAAATATGAATAGGGATAGAATAGATACTGTTCACAAAAGAAGAAGAAAGGAATAAAACAGAAGCATAGTTCAAATATGCAATGACAGGATGGCTATCATCAACAAGAGCTAAACTTGGCACGATTCTAACAGTTTTACTAGTGGTTCCAGAAGAAGCAGATCTACAAGTAAATACGTATAGCCAAGTAGCAATTCAAGTGATCAAAAGTGTAGAAGAACTAAACAAAA